CAGCAGACAGAGAGGATGGGATGCAAGCCTTTGGATACTAAGGAGACATTAGATTGGCTCAAAGCCTGTAAAGCTACGATTTAAGTTCTGATTTGTAATTTTTCAAACAGAAAATAGCTGCATGATTTTATGGACTTTCAACAATGTATTCCAAATTCTATACAGGCACCATCTTTTCATTCCAGGGGTGTTGTGCTCTCTTTAAAACCTGTGGCTTTCTGCTGATTAATTCAGTAGATGTGATGGTTGGAAGATCTTTCACATATTTGCATCTTTAGCCAAATAGCATTTCGTTTTCCCCAGAGACATCACAACACCATTTCTGGAGGGAAGTAGTATCTCCTCAGTTTTACTTTTTATAATGTTTGGCAGCCTGATCTCATCATATACCCAGCTAATACTGCATTCAACTAGAGCTGCTGTAGCAGAACTTTTTCATGTATACTAATATTTCTTTGGGCATTTCTAGACACAAATGTCCTGTTGATTTATGGCTTCACACCTTTCTAAAATACCTGATAAGGAGTGTTGTATATTTTGTGTAATAGGAGGCCCTGACAATGGCATGAATAGACTACTCTGATGCATTGCACAGTTGAGTTTCACGTTATGTGAAAGTTACCAGGTTTGTGCAGGTACAACAGTGAGGAGATGAGTATTGTGTTTGGTAGGGATAGTTCATTGGTGTAAAAACTTACTTGAGAGTATGGTCAGTTGTCATCTCCTGGATTCAGGTTGAAATAATTCCTTTTTCATTTCAGATAACAAAATTACTTCTTGCTGTACTTTAGCATTAGAAATAGTTCCTCTTGTTATTTTTAAACATTTCCCAGCTACTATAAATGCAAAGCTTAACAAGCTCACTGTAAAGCACATTCCCCCTTATTTTATTGCTTTTGCTGAAAATTCCACTCTTATTTGTATTTGACTGTTACCTGTCTTGCTGCCAGCAGCCTTCTGCTCATTGTTTATACACTTTTTCATGATTTAATTCCACCAACAATGGGTTTTGGAGGAAAAAGACTGAGGATTGTAGGCATAATATTTGGTTTCACATATCTGGTACTAGAGCAGCACTTTACAAATTGCCTGTTTCATGTTGACCGGTCTGTAGTTTGTCAGCTTGCCTCAACTGCAGACCAGACTGCTTTTGACTTCAGAGGCCTGCTAAGCCTTCCTGTGCAGCTGGAATACTTTGGTGGGTGGTAGTGATGGCTCTCTGAAAGCTATGAGTTACTCACTTAATAGTTCGCAGCTTATGAGTGTCCAGTGGGCAGCTCTGCTTATGGAAAGGGAAGTGAACAGGTGAGTGGTGGTGATCTGGCTTCTCTTGTCTCTCTCCAGCAAAGAGCAAGTTATCAATTACTTTCAGTGTCACAGATTGTCTTTTTTGAACTTGGCCCATCTTCTCTGCTTCCACTTTATTATTGGCTTCCTCAGATTTGAACCTCAGGGAAAGGTCCCTAACTTTTTATTGTGGTGGTTCAACCTGAGTAGCTGTATGAGTCATGAAAAAGTGGAGCAGCTTCCTACACTGGCTGCCATGGTATCCAGTGCTGTTGCTGTACACACGGTGCGGATGTAGCAAACACTTAGGGGGTGCTTTTTTTGAGGATGACAGGTGTTTCTTTATCTTTGTCATATTACTGGCCACATTTTCTTGGAGCTTGAAGACTAAAAAATAGAGGATCAATGCAACAACATGTTATGTAAAATTGTGAGCAGAATGTTCCAGTTTGAGCAGGTTCCTAACAGCATAAATGAAAGTGCCCGTAAGCAAGGCAGGAATTCTCTAGTTACATTTTTAAGTTTGCTTTGTAACAGGCAGAATAAATTGAACATATTTCATTAAGTCTGATAGTACAATTATAGTTTCAGTGGCTGTTTCTATGCAATGCAGTATAATCTGTGATTTTATATGAGTCCTCTACTGTATGCAGTATTTCATGCCCCTGTTGTTTCTCCCTTGTTTTTTGTTCCCCACCCATTACTTAGGAAGTAGCTTGAATAATTCCTTTCTTAAAAAAATAATTGCTCTAATTAAATTTCTATTCAGATGTATATGTTGCAAGTAGTTTTTTAGAGAAGAGTGTATTTCTAAAAGATGTTTCCTGAATCAATTAAATTGAAAGTTCAAGGTAAGGTTCATGTAACTGAAAGATACAAAGGGTTCTAAAAGAGAAGATGTTTTTATTCATGCCACCTACCAGATTCCATGAGGTATTATTCTCATTACTATTCATGTTCTGGAGGGATAAAGGCTCTTCTAATACAGTTCTTGTGCTAACTAGATTTCTGAAGAATAATTTTTGTAGACTTTTGTTAATATGAACAGGACTTATTAAACAATATTAAAAGGAAGTGACAATATAGTAGTGGAATGCATATTTTGAGAAGTGGTTTCTTGAAAATGAGGCAAAAAAATTCATAATTTCCTTACAAGGGTTTTTCATTTATGATGGTTTTCATGGATTGTATGGTGTATTATAGATGTAATGAAAATTGGCTATGATTGAAAATTTAGTTCTGGCATGTCCACTTAATTGCATTTTAAAGGAAAAAATCTCAATGTACAAAATTCTTTATTCTGTAGAGACCTGTACAACTTTAAAAAAGTTAAATGCAGGCAATGCTTATTATGAAGAATATTCATTTTAACTTTTCCCCCCTAGCTCTAGTTATAGTCCCAGAAGATATGGCAAAATGTTAAAGCTGTGAAATAACATTAAAATGCCATTTAATGTGTCAGGGGAAACTTTGTTTATTTTTTTTTTCTCCGATAAAAAGACTTGAATGAAAGCTTTTTCTTCCACAGTGCTCACAGGTTTTCAAGTATATGGAGAGGGCTGTTGCTAGCAGCAGATTATACCAGATGCTGAGTTGCCTAGGGACATGTGCTTTGTTTGCTGGAGACAGGGCTTATTGTCTTGCCTCCAGGCACTAGGCTGAGTCTGTAAAACTATATAAGTAGTGATTTTTATCCTTTGAGTCAGTGGAGTGTCACATGGTGCTATGTGACATTTTTAGGTAATACATGAAGTACAATTTTTGTATTGTTTTGTTTTGTTTTTTTATTTTTTCATGGGTATGTAGTAGGTAACCTCTATTGAAGTATTGCAAAACCCTTAAATATATACCACTGAAAGAAAAGAGGGATTGCAGACTTTGGAGACATGTTGCTACCTAAGAAATGTTCCATGCCTAAGAAGAATACTAAATTAGTGTTTCATCATAGTTGTTTATCCTCAGAAATATAAGTAAGAAAGAGGTGAAATAAAATTTGCAGTTATATTATACACCTTAGCATGCAAGTAGAGGACCAGTGAGGTTCTGTATGATGGATGTTTGAAGATTTCCTGAAAGTCCACTAAAAGAGAATCGGATGCTTTATAGAGATTTGCTGCATTTATATTGGATATGAGGTAATAACCATAATCCATTTTCTTGTTATTTTACACTTGTGTTTGTGTAGGATAATTATTTTTTCCTTTAAAATACTTCATTTTAATGCAGCAGCCACCACGAGGTATTTGGCAAAATGACCTGTGATCTCCTTTATTATTACAATTTGTGTAATATTGTGAGATTTCATTTTGAGCTATAATTTGTAAATAGATTTTTTTCGTAAGTGTGAAGTGATAACTGTGAGTAGCGTAACTCTGTGTGGTACTAGTCTGTTTTGAGCTTGGGGTTTTTTGTGGTTGGTGTTTTTTTGTTTGTTTTGTTTTGGTGTTTGTTTTTCTTTGGTTGAACTTGCCTTTGCTGAGGACCTACAGATACTCATGTAGCATCCATGTGCTTGTTGAACATCACTTTCTCTAGTGCATTCAGCTTGGAGACAGCTCAACCAAGCTGAAGAGTATAAAATTGTCTAAGTCATTGTATCTTTTGGATAATTTTTCTAAAAAGTGTTATGACGTGTTGTAGCCTATTCCAACATAACAGTAAACACTTCATGAATTCATACATTGCTGGAGAAAATATGGATTTACAAGGTTCCAGTTTGACAGAAGTCTGTCAGGAGATTGTGGTACAACATGCAACTGTGAAAGATGGTTCTTGGAGCAACCCCGTAATATGTTAGACCTAGCAAGTCTGGTAAAATTATTCAGTGCTTCTCTTCTTTAATGTTTTGCACATTATAATGCAGTAGTCATGTTGGGTTAATGTGCTAATGGATGATCTTCAAAGTTAACAAACGTAAGCAGGTTCTGCATCTCAGTGTTTCGTATACAGCCACTAGTTCTGTTCAGGGCTTCCATTACTTCCAAGGCTTGATGTTCAGTGTTGAATTCAAAATGAGTCAAAATGTTACTAATGAAATGAACACTGTTAACCATGTAATCTTAGAGTTTTGGTTTTTTACTTGATGCTAAGGTAGCATCGAAGCTAAGGAGTTATGTAAGTTAATATCCAGTCAAATGCTTCTCTACCAGAGGCAAGCACTTAAGGTTTGAAAGTGCTCAATATGCTTAAATATTTCTAAGTAACTGCGTATTTTAAAGTAAATAAACATTTTAAGTGAACATCAGAAGACTGATGTAACTGGTAAGTTCTGACTGGTACTACATAAATGGGTCTGTTCTGAGCTAGAGCTTCCTGTCTGCATAGGCTGTCCCTTGCATTCTGTGTAACTTTTCTTGAATGAAGGTTAATATCTCTGCCCCATATTTCTTGACCAGTTTCTCTGCTGTCATTGTGGCCAATAAAGGTTAACTGAACTTTCAAGATTGTGTTTTTGTCCAAGATATGCAGTGGTTATGTTCTCTGTAGATACTCCCCAAACTGAACCGTGAGTGCTGTAGCCTGAGAGCTTCATATAGAGTTTTTTCATGTGTTGATCTGTTTGGTTTCTGAGGTTCAAACACGTACAAGTTGCTTCTGATTTTGAAATGTTTTCACCGCAGTTGCTTTCCTGTGTCACATGCATCATATGACTACTTTGAAGTTGAAAATGATAGTTTTCAGAAACTATTAACACACTGTTTGTCCTTCTTTAGGAAAGCCCAAGAAGGGAAGAAGAAAGTTGTTGTAGCAGGCTGTGTGCCACAAGCCCAACCTCGTCAGGACTACCTGAAAGGCTTGAGTATTATAGGGGTAGGTATCTTTGTAAATTAAGAACCAAAGTTTTTCATAAATGTTTTCAATTGGTCAATGTCATTATATAGACTTTGTTGCCTTTCTCTTGGAAAAAACAGCAGAGAAGCTTTCTGCCATCCCCACTCCCATTTGTCTTCTTGCATTATACAACACTTAAACCTTCCTTCATCTGGGGTGATTTACTTTGTTTGTGGCATGAGAAAGAAATGGATGCTGTTATTGGAACTGAGTTCCAGTGCCCTTTGTAGCCTGAAAATTTCGAGGCTTCATCCAGGATAAGATATCAATTACTGTGTTCTTAAAAATATCACAGTTTATTTGCTTTAAGACAAGCCTTAAGACCTTCGTTAAAATCAGTGGATGAAATGTGGGAGATGAGCATATAAATTACATGGACACAGCTGAGAGTTTGGTGGTTGTTTTTTTACTTCACACTATTAAGAAGAACAGCAAATAGCAATGATTATTTTGTTTAAATTTGAGGCATTCTGAAGAGTTAAATCCACTGATAACTGGGTTGTTAAACAGTTACCAAACGTTACCTTGAAAAGGTAAGCAGAGAGCTTTGACTTCATTCAGTTAGTCAAGAGAACCCTGCCTTCAGGGTTTTTATGCAGTACTACTGTATTTTGAATCACCTTTGCAAAATAGTAATGAAAATCTGGGAGTCAAAGCATAAATTCACAAAGATTCTTCATTGTTCAAGCCTTTAATTGTTAATTGTTTAAACCTTTTAGTTGTAAAAGGCATATTTGAGTTGAAGCAGTGGAGTCAGTGTGTGAGCATTACAGTGAAGCTGTCCTGTGTTGTGTCAAGCCAGAGCAGATGATTGTGCAGCCTTGTCTCTATGCTAAAAATGTAAAGAGATCAGTGTGTTTCCACATCAGTGTAATGAATTTCGCTTGAAACTAGGATTTTATAGGAACAACAACAAAAATCTTCCAAAGCAGTGGGTGAGCAGTTGGCTCACAGGTTGGGCACAGCGGGTAATAGTGAATGGGGTAACATCAAACTGGTGACCTCTCACTAGTGGGGTTCCACAGGGCTCCATCTCAGGCCCTGTGCTCTTCAACATCTTCATAAATGACTTGGATGCAGGACTGGAAGGGACACTAAGCAAGTTTGAAGATGACACAAAACTGGGAGCAGCTGTTGACTCCCTCAAAGGCAGGGAGACCATGCAGAGAGACCTCAACAAATGAGAGGACTGGGCAATCACCAACCATAAGAAGTTCAACAAGGGAAAGTGCTGGATTCTGCACCTGAGTTGGGGCAACCCTGGATGTCTGTACAGACAGAGGAATGAGATGCTGGAAAGCAGTGCCATGGAAAGGGACCTGGGGGTCCTGGTTGATGGCAAGTTGAATATGAGTCAGCAGTGCCCTGGCAGCCAGGAGGGCCAACCATGTGCTGGGTGACATCAGGCAAAGCATCGCCAGCCATAACTGCTGTGCACTGTTATGGCCTCACCTTGAATATTGTGTGCAGTTTTGGTCACAGCAATATAAGAAAGACATGAAGCTCTTAGAGAGCATCCAAAGAAGGGCACGAAGATGGTGAAGGGCCTTGAGGGGAAGCCGTATGAGGAGCAGCTGATGTCACTTGGTCTGTTCAGTCTGGAGGAGAAGAGTCTGAGGGGAGACCTCATTGCAGTTACAACTTCCACATGAGAGGAAGAGCAGGCACTGATCTCTTCTCTGTGGTGACCAGTGACAGAACCTAAGGAATGGTCTGAAGTGGTGTCAGGGGAGGTTTAGGTTGCATACTAGAAAGAGATTCTTCACCCAGAGCGTGGTTGGGTACTAGAAAAGGCTTCCTGAGGAAGTAGTCACAGCCCCAAGCCTGACAGAGTTCAAGAAGCATTTGGATGATACTCTCAGGCACATGGTGTGACTCTTGGCAATGGTTCTGTGCAAGGCCAGGAGTTGGACTGAATCCTTGTGGATCCCTTCCAACTCAGCATATTCTGTGATTCTGTGAAGCTTTCTCTTTCATTAGAAGATCATACAAGATGTAGGTTGTTCAAAGTAATTTAGAAGTAAAATAAGTTAGTTTGTAATTAGGAAAAAGATAACTTCATTAACTGATTCATTCCAATGCTTTATAAAGATGGACTTTGTGCTATTTCAATTTTTAATTACTGCTGTCACTCAAAATATTGTATCTCTCATTTTTTACCCAGCTGCCACTTTCAGCTATGTTTATTTCTAAAAATTAACTCAGGGCTCAGAAATTAGATTCAGGGGCTGCTGCATTTGGTATAGAGTAAATTACATTAATGGTTACAGTTTAAGGAAGAAGCAAGCTTTCCGTTTGACTCTGAAGTCTTACTTTATACAAATATGTGCAAGAGAACTGGGTACTCTGTCATCTCCAAGACTGACTAATTAAGTGTAACTTACTCTGTGCTGAAGGACAGGAAAAACAAAAATTGGTGAACGAATTTCCTTTTGGCTCAGAGGCGACATAGTTATGTGATCTATAATTGGTTGTTTTAGTGAATATAGTGGTATCTACACATATGAAGACAGGGAAAAAAAAGAATGAGTCATTATCCTTTGACCAAGACTGTAATTTGATATTTCAGTTTTGATGAATTTAACTTAGAAAAAATTGGAGGACCTGAAGCTTGAGGGGTTTTTTTAACAATTTTTTTTATTTCCCTTTTTTTTTTTTTAAGTTTCCTGTTAGGTAACATGCAATTTCTGAAAATTAACCTGTTTATCTTCATTTTGGTGCCTAGAACCAGTGTTTAGTGAAAAATATTTGTAGTTTTGTATTTATTACAGGAAGATTTTTGTTAGGAATTTAAGTTGTTAATGTGGTGTTTCTAAGTACTTTGTAACTAGACCTGAAAATGGTGAAGTGTCGTCTTCACAATAAGGACACTGTTTTCTCACTGTCATTGCTGTGGTAAAACTTACTGTACTGTAAGTTAAAGATCTTTCAGCTCAGAAAGCTCTTAAACTTGAGGCATAACTATTAACAGAAACAAAGCTAAGAGCAGCTATTATCAACATTTTCAGTTTGTATATTTAATATTTTCTTCTGATTTTGCAAAGAGTGTGTGTGAGGAGGTGACTGCATTTAAAGGATAAGAGTTATCTTACTGTTTCAAAATATTTTTGAAAGGCAGTTTTGACAGAATAAAGAAATAGAAAATGTTCTGTTGGTGGTAGGATATTGATTCTACTTTAAAATTTTAAACAATAAGAGTACAGTTTTGGAAGTCTTGCTTTAATACCAGGTTGGTCTCATCTTCAACTTGGCTGAGAGACATAGATGATTTATTGTTGCTTATGTAAGTTCTGCTATTCTTTGTGGGTTTTTTCCTGTTCTTTTTAATATAATTTATTTTACAAAACAGTGTTGTCTGAGAATGTGGTTATTTACCAGCAAATATAACTCCCTCGGGGTGACTTTCTGAAGGCAGTATGTCAGAGGGCTCTTCTTTTTCTCTTGTTATAATGGAGAAGGAAGTTGCAATGTAACTACCAGAGAAATTCTAGTAAGTCAGGGTTTGTTTTGATCTGCATTTGAGAATTACAGGACTTAGTTTCTACTGTTCTTATTGCTTGATTTGAACAGAAATAAAGGAAGGGCAAGTTCATATCCTTGTTATCATTTGTGACGTTACTGTGCTTTTGTGGTGGGGTTTTTTTTGGTTTGGTTTGGTTTTTTGTTTGTTTGTTTTGTTTTTGTTGGGTTTTGGTTGGTTGGTTTGGTTTGTTTTTTAAGTATTGCTGCTTTTTAAAAATAATGTGGGTTGGGGCAAACCATAAGATGACACAAAACTGGGAGCAGCTGTTAACATGGCAAGGTGAAGGAGCTGTTTTCTGAAATGGGAAAACTCTTGGGGGTAATAAACCTGCCAAGGGTGAGGTCAAAAGTACATGAAACATGTAATGATGCATTACAGAGGTTCACAGCCATTTACCCTCAGGTGGTTTCCAAACCTCACTCCTTTGTGTTTGCAAGTGTACCCACTTCAAACTTAAGCTCACATATGGCAAAGAGAAATCTCATAGTTAGAGTTGTCCCTCACTTTTCATTTTAAGTTGCCAAAAAGAAGGCTATGTCACTTTGTGTTGAATGTTTTGAGGGGATTATTGGGAAAGGGAAAGGAGGGACAAGGGGAAATGAAAGATGTAGCTGACAGTCTATGTTTTAGGACTCGTGAATGGATGTAGGTAGTCATAGTGTTTCCTTACTTCCCGAGTTGCATGCAAGGACATGCAAAACCCTTGTTCCCAGTGATAAGTTGAACCATTGGAATGGGATGAGATATTTCATTGACATTTGTCTGGAGTTTTAAGGTATTCAATGTCCAAACGATGCTATGTTGGAAACTCTGACCAGTTTACTGGTCTTAATGTGCTTCACAAGCCCCATGTACTTTGAAATCATCGAACTTGCAGTACATACTGAAAGTGTGGGGCCTAATGCACATGTGTATTCCATTAAAGGCATACAACAACTCTGCAGATGAGTGAATCCTGAATGAGAACATCAACTCAAATTCTTCTTCCTTCCTCATCTTTCCCAGTGTCACATGTAGCATCAAAGACCTATCATCTTCTGTCATACACCCATCACCCAAGGGAAGAATTTCGGTCCGTTCTTTCATCTGCATAAAATCACAAAAACAATCCAGTGTTTCCAAGGCTGTAACCCCCTCTTTGCTGCTACTCTCCAAGTCAGAAGGTGCAGGTCCTGTGCATGGTAGAGTTACTCTAGGCTCTTTGGCCAAGTTGAGCTTGTAGCCACTGCTTCCAGGTGAAATATATAGCCATGAAAAGCTCTCTGTCAAGGCTCCTTGCATTCCCCTGACCACCAAATAACCCTTTTCCCTGGCAATTCTACTCTGTAAGGCAAACTTTACGTAATTTATTTTTCATATCCAGTTTGAAACTCAGGAGTCTGAGTAGCGGGAGTGCTGAACACTCCCAGTAGCAGTGCCTAACACTAGGGGCACTGCTGTAAAATAGATGGTTCAG